TTCGCTATTTATCCCGCTTAGCATTATATTTAAATATTATAAAGATAGCAAATAATTTATTTAGTATAATTTCGTTCGATTTTTAGGATTATCTTATTTTTAATATACCTTTTTTTTAACGTTTTTTATAATATACTAAATGCATAGCTACTGCTTAATTTCCTGCTAAACCTCTGCTTATGCAGTTTTTAGTTTATTATTAAAATCGGTAATTAACACTATTAGATCGGGGAGTTTATATTTTTTTTATAAATTTTAAATACGGGCTATTATTTATCGGAATATATCGGTAGTTTCGTCGGGAATTATAGCATAATATTAAACGTAATATAAGTTTAGGTAAATAAGCCTATTAAATTAAAAAAATAATATACCGAACTTATAAATTATTAATTTAATTAATTTTTTATAAAAATGCTATATTAACTTAATAATTTAATAAATAATATTGGCTATACTAATATTTAGGTATTAGCGCTAAAATTTAATTAATTCGTTAAAGCACTAAAATAGCTTATTAAGCTCGTTAGTGCCGTTATTATATTTAAAGAATAAGGGAATATAATAAATTTGCAGCTTTGCTATTTTTTTTAATATATATTAAATATTAGTTAAACTATAAAGTTTTTTAGCCTTAATTTTTTAAATAATATTTTTAAAAAGGATATAATCGGTTATATAACTAGGATTAGCAATACGCAGGTGCTTAAATACTTTACGCGCTAATATTTAATAATAATAAGTATAGCGCCGTATAATTAACTCCTCGTCTTTAATTAGGAATTTATTTTAGGGAAAATCGCTAGCCTTCGTTTTTAGGTTATAATTATATTTAGATTTAACGACGTAAAAATGGTATTTATTATCGTTTTTAAATTTAAAAACTCCTTTAAAGCGATAGCTATATTTAATCGTAATTATTTTCCGTATATTTTAAGCATTTTTACCTAGCTTATATTTATTAAATCGCACGTATAAAAATTCGTATTGTATTATTAATTTACTTCGTCGACGCGTAACTCCGTTTGTTTTAATCGCGTAGCCGTGCTATTTAGCAAATTTTTTAAGCTAAATTATATAATCGTTTATAATTTCGGCGATAGCTTTAAACGGCGGTTTAAAATCGGGGAAAAAAGTTATTTTAATTATATAACGCGTTATTATATTATATAAAAAAGTAAAAATTATAAGGAATAAGCATAGGAAACGCGTAAATGGTCTTATAAACCCTAAAAAACACCAATATTGTAATTAATGGGCCCTAGGACCCACCGGAAAATAGATATAATAATAACATTATACGCGTTTTATATAATTGTATTTTAATTAAATTAAAGCAGATAATCGCAATTCTAATAAAGCCATTTAAATCGGCTAGTTTTATTTACCTAATATACGTTTTTTTAGCTTTACGATCGAACGTTATAATATTAAATTATTAGTTATTTTAATATATATAATTATAACGCGTATAAATAGCCGATTAATACGACTTATAACCAGCTATAGCTAATTATAACAGCATTAATTACCTATATAATACCATAAATAAGGAATTTAAGCGCTATATTGGATTACCGGCACCTTTAGGGCGCGTATGGCGCTTAGGTGACTTATGCTAAAGGTGCATAATATTTCCCACCTAATTATGCAGTAAAATGTATGTGGCTGTAGGTGTGGTGAGCTACGGGATGTGGATCGGGGGGGATGAGCAGCCAAAATGGGGGGGGTGAGGATCCGGGGCGCTTTAGAAGCCCATCGCTTGGCTGGCCCCCTGAGGCTGAGCGCTTGTGATGTGACGAATCTGGGGGCGTGTTCAGCATGGGGAAGCTAACGTACCCAGATAAGTTCTGTGGGGGAAGCTTTTATTGACCCTGATAGGATAAAACGGCAACGATGATGTTTTGTATTTTCTCTTTGGCTCCTTGAGCTCTCACACTACCCCAGGTTCAAGGACAGATCAGGGAATCATTGGCATCTATCGCATCGAGGATCGGGGGAGGGAAGGGGGCTTCGTCCCTATTGATGATGGATGCATCAGTGATGAGGTCAGACATGGATACGACAGCAAAAGAATTCGGCCATCGCCTTGATGTGTCGACCGACTACCAAGACTACCTAGTAGTCCCTGTTCGTGTCGAGAGTTGTGACTGGACCTGGGCGGGCGCATATTGGGTTTGCATGACATCTAACGTAGTTGTCCCCAGTGTCTGAGGCGCTGTGCCAACAGCTGAGAGAGAGAATGTTATTTCCCAAACTGATCTCCAGAAGTCCAGACTTGCAACCACCCGACCAATCCATCGTCGCGATAAGATCACGACATTTTGGCACTTGTCTAGATGCAATCAGATATGAGTTTAGCACCGAGGAAAATAGTCGTGATCCCAAGTCGAGATTGGTCCCCGATACGAAGAAGGAGCCCGGTCCTGGTTTAGGTGCGCTCTGGATTCCGCGCTCTAACTCGGACAGGGCAGAGCTCATCTCACACCACTCCCTCTCAGCATTTTGCAGTAAGCAAAAGAGGGAGAGAATAGGCCGCACTCGGCATTGACGGCTCTTATCTTTCTAATGACACACCCCCATCCAACCACCAGGACTCCGGACTTGGGCCCCACGTTCCCCATATCGCGAATTGTCGGAATGAGACGGCGCTCGAGGGGTCTCCAGGTTTGAGGACGAGCCAACCAGGGGACGGGACTATCTATTTCCTATAATGTCGATGCGGGATGAAGCGAGGATTAACAAACTATCCTCTGAAATGCAGAAGAGCATTGATACAAGACTTGAACAACACGCACACATACACACATATGGAATGAGTTGTGAGCAAGTTTTGGTTGTTGATCTCATTGTTGCTGCTGCTTTTTTTCTAGAACCCATTCTAGAAGATAGCTTGACTCCTTAGGTCTGCATCTTTTCATGGCCTGACTCGTGATATTTCGCCGAGCACAGGGGCGGCACTTTCCCCGCCAGGCCAAAACTGATGATGTTTTTTCGTCTCAACTTCCCTGTTTCCCCACAGAACCGCCGGGAGATGACATAGCATAACTGTGCTAATTCTGTCCTTACCGTAGGTGAGAGATATGTACAGTTTGTGTTTTTTTTTTCAGGCACCCTCACATTTGTCGCCCATTCCAACTCGGTCATGAGGCAGAGAAAGACTGATTCGGCCATCTACAGCTCTTTGGTGTTGTGCTAAAGTACTGAACCCGCGAAATGTCGTGCCATGTCTCACAATAAAGAGACAACCTGCTGCATTGAATCACCTCATACACCGCTTCAGAGAGCACTTCAACAGGGAACATGAAAAGAAGAACAAGCTGACTACGAATAGTCCACTAGGGAATGCAGTACGACCGGCAAAGTCTGGCCATGATAGCATAGCTTTGTGAGAATAATAATGATGCGATGGGATCGTTGATTCTAGAGAAGACGCTTGGACGTGGTAATAAATCCAATTCTCGGCGTGCTCTCGGCCAGTCGATATGCTTCCAAAAGGCAATACATTAGTGAGGAGGCCCGATTCGAGCGCAACATAGCAGCGGGGGGGCGTTTATACTACTGCTGGCTGGATGGATCGTGTGCGTGTGTTTTCCCCCCTTCCTTTCCAAGACCAGTAATCTCCTCCTTTTTGGTGTCTTCGCTTTTCAACTGGTTGGCTGAACTGTAGAATGAACAGTAAATAAAATGGCACTTCGTATAGGCTGGGGACTCACAAGACTGAAAAGCAGAGAGAGAAATGAGCATGTGTTCAAAATCAAAGACATCCAATGACCCCCGACACGCGCACTGGCGAGTCTCACACCCCACGAATTTCAATCGCTCGACTCACTCCCCCACGCCCGCCAAGGAGGGGATGGAGGGCGAAGTCGAGAAGAGAGTGAGAATTGAGTCTACAAGAAAAAAAAAAGAAAAAAAAAAGTTTTCTGCGTCTAGTCCTACTCGGGTGTTTACGGCCAAATTCCATCCTCTGTGTCCACTCCTTTCCTCCACGTTCCCTGTCAAAGGCTTCTGCTGAGACCTCCACGTCCGTCAGTACCAGGCCTAGAGAGCAGCCCCAGTGGCTCCCCCAGGCTCACTTGGTGCTTATTGCCAGGCTCGTTGCCCGCCCGCGCATTTCCTGCGCACCCGCACCCTCACCCTGGAGCGGCGAGGGGTCTGATCAGATCCTTGAAGACGGGGCGGATTCGGAGGGTTGCAAGGGAGTGGACAGTGGTCCTCCTTCTGCGGTCGGTATCTCACCATCTTTTTTTGGGGGTCACCCACATTTACTTCAATTTTTTTTTTTCCTTTGAGCGACCGGCCACATACAGGCACGTACCTACAGTGAGTACCAGCTCACCCACCCACTGCCTGCGCCAACGCCAACGCCTACGCCTATGTACGCATGCGCCTATGAATATACCTACATTGCATCCCGAGGATTGGCCCCAGTCCCCATCCCACCCCCAGCCTAGGGTACATTATCTACATTACAGCGGGCTGCGTTAGGTACAAGCTACCTGAGAGTAGTGGCATTTCTGGGCCTCTGGCGTGCTCGGCCGGGGCGTCTCTCTCCAGGTGGTACTTCCAAGGTTCCCTTCCCCCAGTCCACTGTGGGCAGTGTTTCCGACTTGCCCGACTCATTTAAAACCACTGCACTGATCCCCCCCCTCCCTCCAAGAGATTTCCTTCTGAATTCTGCCGTACCCCCAAAAAGACAGCAGCAGTATTTATTAGCAAAGCACCGACCCTCGACTCCAACAACAAAGACTCGACGACGAACAACATTATACAACACTACAGCAACATACTTTCTGAACACCAGAAAACTCCAGACGTTGAAAAAGAAGGTCAATAGGAAATCGCCAACTCCAAAACCTAAAGAAACGACCTTAACGAGAGAACGCAAAAAACCTCTCGCTTCGACTAGTACCTTGGGGAATCTAGTCAACTTTCCACAAAATTTCTTCCCCTCCATCTGGTGAAGGACAAAGGGTGCCCCTCCGGCTGGCGATCACATGCAACGCTCACAGTCAGCGGTGGATTTTTCCAACCTGCTGAACCCCGAATCTGCACCATCAGTCACCCCGCCGGCTGTTCAGGCCGTGGATCAGGACGGAGACGTCGATATGGCTACAGTGAGCGTTATCAGGCCTAACGGACCTCTTCCAGGCGGCCAGCCCCAAGAGAACCCGAGTGAGCTCCCAAGGCCGTACAAGTGCCCTTTGTGCGATAAGGCTTTTCACCGTTTGGAGCACCAGACAAGGCATATTAGGACGCACACTGGTGAGAAGCCGCACGCCTGCCAATTTCCGGGTTGCAGCAAGAAGTTCTCCCGCTCTGACGAGCTCACGAGACACTCGAGGATACATAACAACCCGAACTCCAGGAGAGGCAACAAGAACCCGCAGGCTTCTCACCACATGGCGTCAGCTTTGGCTCCGGACTCCATGATGCCGCCGCCCGCTGGACCAAGATCCATCAAGAGCGCACCCAACTCGACATTAGTCTCGCCAAACGTATCTCCTCCTCATTCGTACTCTCAGTATGCGCTTCCCCAGGGACCTCTCCACTACGGAAGAGGTATGGGTGGCAGTCCTCTATCTGGTCACACCATGGATATCGGCGTTCTTGCCAATGCCGCGAAGCAGGTAGAGCGCGACAACAGCCTCGCTTCTCACCACCACACCGCCCGGCATCACCCATACTATTCGCACAGCATACACAACTCACGGGGCCACCTCCCATCCCTGGCCTCCTACCACATGTCGAGGTCGCATTCCCACGAGGAGCATGATGACCACTACAACCACCCTTTGAGGCATGCAAAGAAGTCAAGGCCCAACTCGCCCAACTCGACCGCGCCTTCTTCGCCCACATTCTCTCATGATTCCCTTTCTCCTACTCCTGACCACACACCACTTGCCACTCCTGCCCACTCCCCAAGACTGCGACCTTACGCTGGTATCGAGCTTCCCACGCTGCGGAATCTGACACTGGGCCACACGCCCGCACTCGCTCCTATGGAGCCTCACTTTGGCGAGAACCCATCGCCATATCAGCAGCAGCAACAAACCGCAAGCCCTGCTACTCGCGGCGGCATCAGCCTGACCGACATCATCAGCAGGCCGGATGGCAGCAGAAAACTGCCGGTGCCTCAGGTGCCCAAGGTTGCCGTCCAGGATTTATTAGCTCCCAGTGATGGATACAACAGCAGCGGACGCAGTTCGACGACAGCTAGCCTGGCAGGCGGAGATCTCATGGACCGGACATAGGACCGCCGGCAAATCCAGAGATTCGGTCGCATTTTATGAATGATGATAATGGTTATAGAAAGGCATATAGAAAGAGACGGCGTTCACAGGCGGCAGGACATGAATCGGACATCGCTCAAACCAATACTAGTAATTTGGCATATGCGAAGGCGTGAAAGGGCTGGCCTTTGTTTGGAACATACCAGCGGCACTGTATAGACTTTTGAACACCCAACAATGGATGGGATTTTACATAGATCTCCACTTATACTGGAACTCCCCGAGTCTCCTCGGTTTTTCCTTGTCAGAACCCGGATCAGGGAAAAGCGACAATACCATTTACTTTCTGATCTATCTTACTCTTATTTGACCAGTCCTTGAGTGATATGTGGTGGATTCTGCAAGGAGACACAAACCATGGAAGTAACCAAGCACATCTTCGATATACCAGTCACTAGAATTCACACGTCTCCAACACCTTGTGTCGTATTTCTTTACGGCCGAGGCCACAAAGCACTTGGAAGACGCACTCTGGGTGTATGGTCTCAAATATCTCTTGGTAGGCTCCTACGGGATTATTGCCGAACCATTTGTCACACACGATACGAGGTAAAGTAGAATACTTTTGCCCAACCCACCAGGGACTTTTTTTTTTTTTCGTTTCCTTCCTCTTTCCCTACAGTCCTTTAATTCTGTCTCTCCCTTGTGCCCTCGACCCCTGGAACCTGGGTCATGAACTCTACTCGAATGGGGACCCCGCAAAAAACGAAAAATAAGTTTCAAACAAGACGAATAGGCACGGAGAGACAGCGGCACGGGGCGTCTCAGGGGTTCAATGTTGGTTGGCTGCTAAGTTTTTGTAGTTTGTACCTACGCTTGATACCGAGATACTTGAAAATTCTTGGGGCTGCTTTCAAACCCTCTTCCCGTTGCTGCTGCTGCTCGTTTTCTTAGCCGCAACGTACGATTTCTTTCCTCTCGATCCCGTATGTAGGCGAGCAACAAGTCAAGAAGACAAGGGTGTACATTATGCACGACTACGGGTAGAGAGATTGATGGATCTTGTGTGTTGTTTTCTTTAGTGGTATGATGAGACCAGGTACATTGGGGAAATCATTATACCAAGAATGATCTGCTTATGCACGAGGGTCCTTTATTATGAGTGATCGTTGTTCAAACATGTTTTCATTTTGACACAGCTATCCATATTGGAAAGAGAAGAAAGAAGAAGCAAGGCAAAAAACAATGCAATAAAAAAATCAATAAACATAAAGAATAGACAGCAAAGGCAGAATAGAATAAATGACTTGATTGCCATGGGGGCCGTGAAAACTGCAGCCTGCTAGATCCCTCAACCTGCCTCCCCCGGACTTCCCCGGAGTGTTGTGTAATATTATTACAATGGCTGCCGGGGTGGGAAGGCGATGAACCCCCAGGAGCCGTGTCACCCAATTCATGTATCTATCTCTCACTCTCTCGTGAGCTACCCAATCTATGTCCAGAGATGGGATGCTGCTCGCCTACGAGGTGTGTAAAAACAAATATTTTTGAGGAAAAAAAAAACAATCAAATGAGCGGTGGGAAGTTTGTGAGCCAATGCTCGGCATTTTCAGCTGGTTTGTTGGGCATCCAATCCCAGTTCTAAAAGGAAGAGTAAAAAAAGAATTTTCTTTCCTTCTTGGTCAGACAGCCCCACCGCCTGTGAGAGTGAGAAAAAAAAAAAGACACAGAAGGACTGGGGGAGAAGTGAGAATCTGTGGTTTCTCGGCACGGCAGCTGTATTGTGCTCAGCCTCCCTTTGCCTTTTTTTTCCCTGCCTAGGTACATAATAGTTGGGTGTACATGTCTGGTCGGTGAGCGAGAGCGATTACCTCTTTTGACGTGTTTGCCCCAGGGCAGAGAAAAGTTATTTTGGTCCATTGGTTTTGCCCTCATGTATGCAACATATGCTCCCTCCCACTCGCTCAGAAGAGGAAGGGAAAAAAAAAAAAAAAAAAAAAAGTGACCTGTGTTTTGGGGGTTACGTTGGCTCAGGGCAAAGGAATGTCGTCGGAGCTGAAAGGGCTGACGTGATCGCCCGACGTGGAAGCAAGATGCAGAAAAAAGAAAACGAATAGGAATACGAAATAGGCTTAGAAGAAAACTACCCCACTCCCCAGCTTTTTTTTTTTTTTACTTTTTTTTTAAATAGCCCCAGACGGTGTGAAACGATGCTGGGATTGCGGGTTGCAGATTGGGACTGCTGGGAGTTCTTTTGAGCCCAGACGTTGCCAGGCCTTTGGGGTATCCCTGGGTACGATCCCAACCGAAAGTATTTCGATCCCGCCCGCCCTGTCCGCCCGCCCGCTCGCTGCCCATCATCCCCCCCCACACACAAATAAGTCACTCATCAGGGCGATTGCGACGCCAGCTTCCAAGGCAGAGAGGAACCACCATTCGACATCATCGTGCTCGTCATTTGCACATGTCTTTTCCCTTTTCTCTCCCCAAGGGGCCCCCCCCTCCCCTTGTTGATAACAGAGGGCCAAGAGAGCCTAGAATCCTTTCTACGATGTACAAGAAAACAAAGTTTTGCCTAGCTGTTCCACGTGCTTCCACATAGGTCGTCTTGTTCAAGTTTGAAATCTGGTCTATGTGCTGTAGTGTAGTACTTACTACCTAAACTGGATATTGTATGTATGTGAGAGTAATGTATGCAGGCGAGTACCAGCCCCGGGACAGGGCATTTATATCGTAAATTGCGGGGCTCCGCCGTCATCCTGCCGCCCCCTACCTTTTCTCCATACTTTTGTTTTTGTTTTTCTTGACCATGGACGACGAAAGAGGGAAGACAAGTAGGAGAGAATTAGACTGGGTAGGTTGACACCCGAGAAGGGAAATATTTTAGCGAGACTTGTACATTCGGGGTTCTTTCTGGGCGAGTTTCATTGTTTTGGGGGAGGGAGCCTTGGCTTCCTTCACGGCTGAATCCTTCTCGTGGAAAAAATCAAGTAGTATTCAGTGGTAATCTTCCATGACTACTACCACCACTACCACTATCTGCAAGGCACGCCGAGCCTCGAGATTGTTGGCGGACCTACAAGAACCGCGAGAAAAGACGACAACGACAGCAGAGACCAAAGCTGCAAATCTTTTCCTTGACCACGGTAGCACAAGTTGCGGGAGCCAAGCGTTGCAACCCCCCGGGCGTTTTTCGTGTGCCTTACATAGTACAGCGGATGGACGGTGGGATAGGTGGCAGAAACAATGTCAGCCACTGCTTTGACGACTTCTAGTTTTGGTATTTATCCTTGCACGAGAGAAGAATACAGCTGTACATTGAGAGACCAGCGTCTGTTGGCAATCTAGTATTTGGCCACCTCTCCTTGTGCCGACGGAGATTTAGGGCCAGGGAGATGATGGGTTTTATTTTCTCGTTTGTTTCGCCAACACGTTGTGGACGTCTGATATGGCCTGACCTCATTCGACTTACGATTTGATTGACGCGGTCCCGGCGTCGATAGCGTATACGTGTAGATGATCTGGGATGTACCAAGTAAGACAGACCGATGGACGGCAAGTTCGCCGGCAAGAGCGGAAACTAGATGGAATGCAGATCATGCTGTTTGCATCGTTTCGGGGAAGTGTTTTACTTGGGACAGAGGGTGGAAAGAAAAAAAATCACCCCGCTATGCCCCCGATGTCAACACGATGGGAGCGCAATGCGATTTTCGTCGTACAAGAAACGATTCTGGACTAAAATGGTTCTAAACGCGAATTTTACTGTTCACGATGTCGACGACAGTCATGCAGGGATCACCATGATAGTGACTTGTTTTAGATCCCGGAACAACTTCTGCTGGCTTCGACTATAGGCCGTTGAGAGAAGATTGTTGCGTTGGCAAACGCCATATGAGTGAGTGCCAGTGGCGCCAGGTCCGCGAGATATCGATCGCCCAGATACCTCATCGCCGATGTCTTCCCTCATGGTAGATGTGAGATGAGAAATAGTCACAATAATGTGGGATTTGGACTGGGGCGCTTGTCATGCTGGATTGCTGATCAGTCATGACGAATCTACTTACGACAGCCGTGTTGCTTTTTTGGGATACGCATAGAGATGCCCTGTCGACGCTGTCCAATCTGCACCTTTGGATGTCATGCCGATGGCCTAGTTTCCGTGCCTCCATTTCTTCCATAGGTCACGAGGTAGAGCTGAGATAAGAAGTGATGCTCGCAAAGTAAACAAGAGATAATTGGCATATTTTTTCTTTCTTGGGCAATGTAGGCTGGTGGCACACTCTAGAGTTCTACTGGCCCGTGATGCAGTCTCGTGTCGAGACGGCTGTTACACACGTGAGGACAGATTGGTGGGGGGGGGGGGGGGGGGGGGGGGGCAGCGTTTTCGTAGGTATGTACATACCTATGTAGGTAATGTATCATACTGTGATGCCTTCTGTGGCCGTGTTCCCGCCACCTATGTAGCTCCCTAGCTACTCGCGCAAAGAGTAATAATTATGGTTAGAAACCGCTGGCCAAATCAATATTCAGAAGGGCCGGACTGGTACGGGATTGGACGTGGCTTGCTTACTTGCCAGCCAACAAGTCGTATGTGTATGAGGGTGATTTGAAAAGGTGACAAGGAGAACCGCGAATGAGCTGTCACAGGTCCAGCTTCAGCAGCAAACAAACATCAGCACTGACGAAGCAGCTGGAGGTTCTAAGGCCCTGGAACGACAGGTGTGTGTCGAGCCCCCAGCAAGTGTACCAAGGTGCTGGTGCTGATGCCTGGACTTTGATTGGAACGGCTTCGAACAGGAGGATGTGCTACAGGGTTTAGTTGCCGTCCACTATAATCTCCCCCACGCCCGAATCAGCCAACAGCCTAGCCTAGTCAATGAACACACCCTTGGATCAAAGATTGTGTTCCCCAGAGGAGGATGAGGGGGGAGGAGGAGGAGGAGGAGGAGAGGGGTGGGTTCTTTGAATCCATGGTTCAGTGCGGGAAATGGAATGAAATGGAAATTGGGACTGTGTACTCT